GACAGCTTGAATATACAAGTTAATTGTATGTATTAAGCTGCTGGAATTTGTAGTATGTTCTGTGTGCGTACAAGCATGCATGATGGTCGGTTTCAAAATATTATAAATATTTGTGATGAAATGAGTCTTCGAGGTATTTGGATATGCTCTGTAAATATCGTTTATGTACACATTTCATATAATCCACAATTTTTATTTTTTACAAAACTTACACCTAATCTCAAACAAACAAAATTAAAATTGAATTTATTCATTGTCTCGTAATTTTGATAGAATATCATTTCAAAATTACAAATGAGAAAACTAAGACCGTATTACATATAAACAAAATCAGGGGTAGAATTTTGAGCAATAATGCTTTTGATTGTAAAGATGTTATGAATTTCATGAACTTGAAGGGCCACGATAAATTTACTCAATTCCTATCAAGTAGGGAGTCGGAAGAAACAGTGAGTCGGAAAGATATTATGACCATAAATTTACTCAATTTCTAGGCTTTTGATTATGATGAGTATGACTAGGTCAAATGAATTGTCGTTTTTCAAGATTTTATAATTCTCTCTCTCTCTCCCTCCAAAATAAGAATCGAACCCAGATTACTGACGTGAATCATGATAAAACTTCTCTCATCATTTGAACTAGATCTTGATCGCTAGGCTATTGCAACATGGAGTCGGAGATGTGACTTTTAGGGACCAAAATAAAAAAATTCCCAAACAAATATATGAATTTATGGAAGTGCAAGCAGATCATGAATATTTAGAGGTTGGCCATTCCTCAAATCCATGCTGTCTGGCTGGTACATAATTTGTTTTCATGGGGTCAACTCCCGACTTCAATTGAAAAGAAAAACTCACGACTTCATTAAAGTGAAGACGCGCATCCATTAAGATTGAAGCTGGCTGGCACCATTACTGTCGTCTAAATTCTTTTGTCTCCTTCGTCGAGCCTTCCACCGCTCTGATCTGTGCCCATACTCCCTATATAAATAACCGCCTCAACTCTCCATTTCCACCATCATCAAATCCTCACCAAAACAAAGAAATTCTACATATTTTGTACCGCTTTTCTGTTCATATCAAATCCCAATTCAAAAATGGCAGCCAGTTTCTCCATCAGTGTGATCTTGATATCTACATTTTCGTTTATCAGTTTTGCTTCTTCAGCAAGAATATTAGAAAATCAAGATCCTATGCTTTTCAAATACCACAACGGCCCACTTCTTACTGGCAAGATCACCGTCAATCTCATCTGGTATGGAAATTTCAAGCCATCCCAGAAAGCCATAATATCTGATTTCATTGCCTCATTATCGTCTTCAAAATCTGAGGCTCAACCTTCTGTTTCTAGATGGTGGGGAGCTACAGAGAAGTACTATCACCTGATCAAATCCAAGAAATCCTCTTCCCCACAACTGGTCTTAGGCAATCAAATCTTTGACGATAATTGCTCATTGGGTAAATCACTCACAACGCAGCAAGTACAACAATTGGCAGCA